TTTAAAAAAGGGGGGGGGGGGGGTGGTGGCTTTTTGTTTTCTATCATGAAGAAGAAGATTACCTTATTTAAATATGTCTGACTGTCTTTTCATATTCAGTTATAACGCATGTATTTAATGTGTTGTACTAAGTTTTTGATTGCCTTTTCAAACTAAGGCATAACACTTGTTGTTAAGGTATAACACATAAATTTCATGCACTATATATAATAATGTTCATACATCTTTTTTCCGTCTATTTTGGTATTTTGAGTCCAACTACGCAACACTTTGGTTGCGGAAGAAGCACGAGTGTATCGTAGTTCCAAGCAGGGGTAGAGTTAGAGTGCTCGAGCGGGTTTGATCGAACCCAATTGCTTTGGTTCAAACCATATATCTGTTTTAAAATTTTTATTAAATATATATAAATATTTAATTTAGAACTCAGTAGCTTAAAACGATTAGAATCCGGAACCCAACAACAACAACAACAACCCAGTAAAATCCCACTAATGGGGTCTGGGGAGGGTAGTATGTACGCAGACCTTACCCCTACCCCAAAAGAGTAGAGAGACTGTTTTCGAAAGACCCTCGGCTCAAGAAAACAAAAAGATAAAAGTACAAAAGGAGACAATATTAATATCATCACAAAAATCATAGAAAAAATAGGAATACCATGAAATGCATAAGAAAGATGCAAAGCAAAAACGATAGCTAGTAAATAGGACATGCATTGAAAAGCGAAGTAGTAAAACACAACATTGTCACTAGCTATCTTAGACAAAAACCCTACCTGGCTAGTCCTACAATGATACGCAGTAAGTCAAGACTCAACTACATCTTAACCTACAACTCTAATACTTGACCTCCACATCTTCCTATCAAGTATCATGTCCTCGAAAATCTGGAGCCTCGCCATATCCTGTCTGATCACCTTTTCCCAATACTTCTTAGGCCGCCCTCTACCTCTTCTCGTGCCCTCCACAACCAGCCGCTCACACCTCCGTACCGGAGCATCTGGGCTTCTCCTTTGAACATGTCTGAACCATCTAAGCCTCGCTTCCCGCATCTTGTCATCAATGGGAGCCACATGCACCTTCTCCCGAATAACATCATTCCTAATCTTATCTATCCTAGTGTGCCCGCACATCCACCCCAACATCCTCATTTCTGCTACTTTCATCCTCTGGATATGTGAGTTCTTAACGGGCCAACACTCAGCCCCATACAACATGGCCGGTCTAACCACCGCTTTATAAAACTTACCTTTGAGTATTGGTGGTGCTCTCTTGTCACACAGGACTCTAGATGTTAACCTCCAGTCCATCCATCCTACCCCAATATGGTGTGTGACATCCTCGTCGATCTCACCTCTCCCCTGGATAACCGAACTAAGGTACTTGAAGCTGCCTCTACTTGGGATGACCTGTGATTCAAGCCTCACATCCACGCCCACTTCCCCTGGCTCAGCGCTGAATTTACACTCCAGGTATTCCGTCTTCGTCGTGCTCAACTTGAAACCCTTAGACTCAAGAGCATGTCTCCAAACCTCTAACCTCTCATTAACACTGGCTCGCGACTCATCAATCAGAACTATATCATTGGCGAATAACATGCACCATGACACCTCCCCTTGAATATGGTGTGTTAACACGTTGATCACTGGGGCGAATAAGAACGGTCTAAGCGGAGAACTTTGGTGTAACCCCATTACAACTGGAAAATGCATAGAGTAGTCTCCTCCTGTTCTAACCCGAGTCTTAGCCCCATCATACGAGTCCTTAATTGCCATAATGTAGGGATCCGAAACACCTAAACTTAAAATCTTCGCTCCGGTTCGAAGGTAACGTGTCGCAACACTAAATCTTGGAAAACATCCATTTGTAGATCCCCTGCCCTCTGCGTTGAAACTTGACAGATGCCTAAAAGGTGACGTAATAATCTTCACTTTTTCATGGTCGGCAAATACTAGTACGTAGTACTATTCTCAAACACAGATTTCCCTTTCTCATTTTTCCACCCACGTGTTTCATTTCTCCAAAGACTTTCAGAACCCAACTCTTTGCTGTATATCAAATTCAATTCAATTCAATTAACCCCCAAAAGGAAGGAAGAAAAAATATCCCAATATTCTCTCAAAGATTCTGCCTTTCAATATTTTTCTGAATATCTCTCTCTCTAGTTCTGTGTAATCTAATTCCTGTTGGGCTTATTCATTAAATAATTATGACGGTTTGGAGCCGGGCAGTGGTAAGATGGCGATGTAGTAGAGCCACCAATTTAACCCACCGGGGTTTATGTTATAATAAACCTTCTAAAACCGACCTTAAAGTACCGCCGGCGGTGGCGAATTTGCCGGCAGGTTCTCCGGCAAGTAGTTTTAAAGACAAGGGCAGAAATGTGCAGTGGGTGTTTCTGGGTTGTCCAGGTGTGGGGAAAGGAACGTATGCAGCTCGACTTTCAAAGCTTCTTGGCGTACCTCACATAGCTACTGGTGATCTCGTTCGTCACGAACTCTCCTCTCATGGAGCCCTCGCTTCTCAGGTCTAAATTTCATGTATTTTTTTATGGGTTTAGTTTTAAATTTTAGCCCCAAGATTTTGCAAGATGAGAAGAGGGAATTTAAATTAATTTGTATAGGCTACAACGTTTTTGGCTTCTGTTTTTGGAAATATCCAGATTCCTGTTTAAAAGTTTTAATCTTTATAGAGTGTGTGTGTGTGTGTGTGTGTGTGTGTGTGTATGCTTAATGTTTAAGTGATGGTGTGGAAAAGTGTCCATCGTTTGCCTGAAGAATATGTGTGTGTGTGTGGAATATGTAAGTGATGGAGTGGAGAAGTTTCCATCTTTTGCCTGAAGGATTTAGGAAACTATTTATGAAGTTGGACCTGTGGTTTGACATCTGTATTTTGTAATAAAATGAAGGATTCCTATAAGGCCTGCATTAGATGAGATCTGCTTATGGTTTAGTTGCCGTCGGATTCATCAGTCTAGAATCTTTTTCCCGAGGCTGCAGAAAAGCAGTCAATACGATTTTTTTTTTTTATATGTAATCTAGTGTAGGATTCAAGGAACTTGCTACTACATAAACAAACCATACACGACTTTATCAAAAAGTCTAGTTTAACAGGAAAAAATGTAATTCCCAAAAACTTGTAATACATAAAGTTTGCAGGCCAAAACACCAGAGTTTATAGAAAGTAACTCATCTACTAAGATAATGGATCTACAAATCAGCATTGGGAACCTCAACCTAAATTCCAGGTTCAATGGTGAAACTTCCCAACCTTTTATCTTTGACTTGTTTTAGAAAGTTTGATATAATTTCAAACTTACTCAATGGTAAAATCAGAAGCCACTTTGTGTAATAATATGGCAACCATGAGCAGATGAAAAAGTTGCAACAGGTTTTATGGCATCTTTTAGAGTGAGGTAATAACTAAGTAATAAAGCAGGAAGTTGCAAGTTTCCCATGTCAGTGGCGTGAGAGATAAATATGTAGTAGTTCTTACATTCAGATGTATATTTTAGGTCTTTGCCCATTATCTTACAATCAAATTAGACTTAAGTTAAAATCATTTTTTAGCATTTGTTCCCCTGACCCTGGACGATATAATCATTAAAAGAAAATCGTCAGCAGATAATAAATCTTATAAGTCAAAGAAAACAATATTTTTGGTCACGGGAGTATTATTTTGCTTTCTCATGAATTCTGGCATATTTTTCCGATAAAATAAATAAATTTTATTTTGTCTGATAAACAAATAAGAGAGTGACAGATCTATGCTTTTGGTGCTTCTTCAATCTATTGTATTGAATGAGTTACTTCTGTAGTAAGGCAAATCAGATTCCTATGCTTATATAGTATGTGAAAATATGAAACTACATATATCAGCTTTTGGTTGATTCTGCTCTTTATTTGCTTCACTATCCTCTTTTCCCCTCTAAAATTGTTCTATTGACTAATTTTCTTTATTTACTTTGTTCCTTCTTTTTCAGCTTGTCGATATTGTCAACCAAGGGAAATTAATCTCAGATGAAATTATAATAGATTTGCTGTCCAAGCGACTTGAAGCTGGAGAAGCTAAGGGTGAAGCAGGATTTATTCTTGATGGATTTCCTCGAACTATACATCAGGCGGTGAGCCAGTTATTTTGTAATAACTTGCAAAGATACATTAACCTATGTCGTTGCTGGATAAACATCTCCAATAGGGTTAACTTTCTAATCTGAATGAAATCCTTTTCTTATAATACTTCTTATTTATATGTGTATTGTTAACATTTATGTTTACAAGCGTGAACTGGGTTAAGATCTCGTACATCTATCTCCGAATGAAATCCTTTTCTTATGATACTTCTTATTTATATGTGTATTGTTAACATTTATGTTTACAAGCGTTAACTGGGTTAAGATCTCGTACAGCTATCTACTTTTAATAGGCCATACTTTCTTTTCACTGTTTGGCATCTGGCACACAGAGGCTTGCATAGAGGAAATGTATGAATGTTCTATATAGGCAAGGGTGTGTTACTGTAACAGGTTAATGGTTATGGCTGAACCTGGAACATTGCTTCTCAGACCAAAGTTGAATCTGCTGTTGGACGAAATGAACGAATAAAGTACAAAAGTTGGAAAGTAACAAGAAAGCTTGATATGGTATTTTTCAATAGGGTGAAATTTTAAAGAATGAAGCTCTTTGAAGTTGGGTAATTGGATTCCAAACTAGAGTAGAATGTAAATGGTGCTTGATCTTACATGAAATATGTTATTCTTTATATTTTATGTCTAAGTTTCTGCAAAGAGCAAAACTCTGAACTATATAAGCTTTTTGCAGTCATTTTAACCAGTGCTTATTGCTCTTATAGATGAAAATTATGGAGATAAGAGCAAATATCTGTGTTAAGCATATCTTATTAGTTGTTTCTTAGATTCTTCTAGTGAAACCTGATCTCTGGACGAGGGTCCTTGCAACACATTTTCACAAGTTATTATATTTCAATTTTATGTAATTAATTATCAATATTTGTGGCTTGTTTGAGCAAACATGTATATCATCTTATATGTTCTCTTAATTGCTACTACGAACTTCTAGAGCTTGCTTCTTATTCTTATGTCGTCATGTAAGTAATGTCCTTAAAAAGTTTAACTTTGTGCATATCAGATTTTTTCATTACTGTTAGTCTTTATAATGCATTAACCTCTTCTCAGAGCTGCCGAATTAAAGGCTTCAATTAGTTCTCATATTTCATTCACAACTGCCTTATACTTTTCTACCTTCTTAACGTCAAGCCTATAATTGTGACTATTAAGATTGTTTCACTGGCATAAAAATTTTCTGTGACTATTCTTACTAATTATGCGCATTAGCTGGTTATTTTGGTAACTTTATAGAATTAATAATTTGTCCTCCGGGCCTAGAGAACTATTTTCTTGTAATAAGGATGTCATAAACAGCATTGAGGATATGTTCCAGTTCTCGTTTTCTCTTTAAGAAAATATAGCCTTTCAGTCATGGTTTTATTCTCTGTTTCTCCACTTTGTATGAGACAAAGGCCAAATATAATCTCAGAACTAAACGCCCTTGCGTTAGTGCAATTATGGACATTGAGCACTTTTAGAACTGTCAGTTGGCACCAATATTAACTAGTTTGGGCGCCTTTTGTTGGATTTAATAGCTTGGTGGTTGAATGATTGCATTTTCTGTTAGGATTATGTGTCAGTTTTAAAAGGCTTACTGTTTCATGTTACTGATTAAAAGAGTTACACCTTTAGGGTTTTATGTCTTTGTTTTGATTAGAGTCTAAACTGCCGTATTTGGTAGAACTTTGCTATTGGTGCTTAACCCATCTTCTATTTCTTTGTTGCTTTATTTATTATTATGTTATCTGTGACTGACTGCTGCACCAATATTTGTGGGATTAGAACAATTTCAAGATTATTGGAGTTGTCATTAGCTTCATAACAAGGGAACAACTTATCAGAAGGTAGAGGGATGAACTAATTGAGGATGTAGTCAACTGGCTGCTATTAGAGCTGCAAAGCAGTATGGTGCGCTGTCATATTTGTTGGCTGCTGTACTTGAATCTGTTGAGAGAAATTCTTGGATATTTTTCATGTCCCATAACTAAACATGTCAACTCGCGCAAATGAAGATAAACAGAATCTTTTAAGTATGGATATGTTGAGAGATTCTAATTCAGATATCGGGGTGAAAGCTGCATCTTTGTCAAGTTTCTGGATTTTAGGTACTTGTTATAAACCCCTCTCCCTTCTTCACTATTGAAATAAGGTAGAGGTAGGACCAGAGCATGGTTATCTTTTGGCATTCTTTTATGCGAAGTCAACTCGATGTCTTCACTAATGATATAAGGTTTGCTGTACTAGGGCTGCTTGCTGGAGTCTCTTCACCAGTTTAGAAGAACTCATTGCAGGTCCAAGCAAGATGATGGTTTCAGCTGACTTTTAAGTTCCCAACTGTTTTGGGTTTGATTAACTTTGTTTGTTTAATGTAGTATTACCAATACTAGCAAAGTGGGGGTTTCCTTATGTGTTTGAAGCTGTTGTTTTCTGTTAGTCTGAGAGTAAAAGCAGCAATAGAAAATTCTTCTTGGTTAAAGTTTTCTTCATGAGTTTATGTTTTTTTTAAATGTCTTCCTGAGTTTATGTTTAGTCAGTCCTTATCCCTTATTGCTTTATTGGTCAGTAATTTCCCCTTTCCTTTCTTTACCATGAGTCTCAAGCTATGTTGCTCTGAGTCTTCAAAATCCTCGCCACACCCGTGTCGACACGACATGGGTGTGAGTGTAGGATCCATACTGGATTTGGTCAACTTACCTTAGGTGCTTTGACTACATAATCGAGAAGTATAGATTGATTGGGTATTGGTTTGATTTTTGGGTATATATATATATAAATATGTAAATGAAAGTGTTTATAAAGAATTAAATTTTATTAGTTTGAGTTCAAATGTTCAATAACTTTAATTTATCGATACATATACTTATATGTCGTAATATGCATTTATTGGCCATATTCCCGCGCCTGTATCCAGCACTTGGATCCATACTTTGAATCCTAAAAGTTATGTGATGAAGAATCCGACCTCTAGATCTGTGCCCGTATCAGATACGCATACCCGAGTCCGAACAACATAGGTCTGAAGTGAGAGCAACTTTGTTGTACCCAGACTTCACTATCTTCTCCATGAGAGATACATTCTCAATTCTTAAACCTGTTCATTTTCTGTTTTTTCTCAAACATGTATGTGTGTCTCACTGTCAGTATTGTGAACTGAGATTACTTGATCACTTGGTTTTTTTCCAAAATCAACTTGCTCATTGGATAAACAAACATCTCATGTTCAGAGCGAGCTTGGAGGTTGAATCCCCAGGCTGCCTGTTCTATTCCATTTCAATCGACTACTGCATATAAATGTAACTATGTGAAAAGTGTGTGTTGCTTATATACTATATGCATATACGCAGTCATTGATGTACTTCTTAATCGTTCCAGCTCTTGTTATTTTCACCCTGTTCAGAAGTTTGTGTCATATGTCAATCGACCCTTTCTCTCGCAAATTATGCGTGGACCACCATAACTGTTCACTTACTAGTAAAACCCCAGGCTCTGAAGTCTTAAATGTCAGAGTAAAATTAGGATGCTGGGACCAGGAGATATGTCTGTCGGCTCCTCTCTTCTTTTCTGTTCTGCAGTTCATCTCGTTTTCAAATTCGACATCTCGTGTCTCGTTGATAAACATTCTTGATCATTGACTACTTGTACCTGGTATGGCAGATGTCAGCATTGTTCTTATGACACTCTACCATTTCCCTTTCAAAATATGTGTAAACTACGATCCACTATTTTGCGGTGATGTTGGGGTTGACTTGACTGTTTTGGTGAGTCAATGGGTGGATAAATATTATTTCCTGGTGTGTAAAGACAAAAACTGAGTTATGTTTGCGCCCTGCATGTTGTCAATGGGCAACACTTCCAAATATGCCTGTGCTTTCAAGATATATGTAAACTATGATCCACTATTTTGCGGTGATGTTGGGGTAGACTTGACTGTTTTGGTGAGTCAATGGGTAGATAAATATTATTTCTTGGCGTGTAAAGACCAAAACTGAGTTATGTTTGCGCCCTGCATGCTGTCAATGGGCAATAGTTCCAAATATGCCTGTGCTTTCTGGATGTTTCATCGATAAGCCTCAAGTTGAGTCTAGATGGTCAGTCTGGCCTAGCCTCACCTCTGATCATTGTCCTAGGATTATCTTCTCTTTTCTTGTTCTTGGGACCAAAAGCTCCTAACAGAAGCATTAATATGACTTTGTCGGAGCTGCAGCCCCTTCTTTTCTTCCCGGCTGTATGTCTCTTCTATTGCTTGCTTTTTCCAGATTAATAATAGTCAACTACATGTAGTGTCATAGACTTGTATATCTTCTCAATTTCTTTCATCTTGATGCTTAGATCTGGACCCATCACTCTCTGGAATTTTGTTATTTTTGGCCAAAGCTCCTGAGGTCGCCGGTCATATCTTTGTTGCCACCAGAATTTGTGAGTGCTTTTGAAATTTTGTCAACAAACTGGATCCAATGAGCAAAAGCTGAATTTTTATCGTCAAGTGTTCAAGCAAGGCTATTTTTATATTCTGGACCTTGTTGACTTCACCTACCACTTTGACATAGCACCTTTTCCCTTGTAAATTTGTTTTTTTAGTTCAGTCAGACCTTGTTTTACAATTGAAGCGCTCTGCAGTCCTTGGTTCCTATAGTTGGAGGTTCTGTTTCTTCTATTATTGGACCTAGAGATGAAACAGATCTGATCTGTCTAAAGGTCCAAGCCAAGAATTATCAGCAGTGTAAGTAGTCCATGGTTGTCTGCTCCTCTGGTTACTAGCTTAGCTGTTTTGTGCACTGAAATCATTATGATCAATTTCATCTCCCAGTAAAGATACAAAGTATATCGTCTGAATCCAATTCTTCATGTGTTGTTTGGTTGTTTAGGAAATCTTAGAGGGAGTAACGGACATCGACTTGGTGATTAATTTGAAGCTCCGGGAAGATGCATTGATTGCTAAGTGCTTAGGAAGAAGGATTTGTAGCGAGTGTGGAGGTAATTACAATGTTGCATGCATTGATATCAAGGGTGATGGCGACAAAACTAGAATGTACATGCCTCCCCTACTCCCTCCTCCGCATTGTGAAAACAAACTTATTACGCGGTCTGATGACACTGAAGATGTTGTGAAGGAACGCCTCCGCATCTACCATGAAACGGTATTGCTCTACTTCAACTTTTCTCTCTTATTTATAATGTCTCATGACAAATTTCAGTCTCAGTTTACTTCCTGGGTACAGTCATGCATTAATCAAATCTGGGGTATTATGTTGTTCCTGCAGAGCCGACCAGTGGAGGACTTTTATCGCAGGCGGGGTAAGCTGTTGGAGTTTGATCTCCCTGGAGGGATTCCAGAGTCGTGGCCAAAGTTACTTCAGGCTTTGAATATCTATGACGATGAGGATAAGAAGTCTGCAGCAGCATGATATTATTTGTCTTGTCAGTAGTTGTACTAGTGTTATAGGTTCATTCTTTTCATGCATGTTGGAAATGCGTGGGCCTTCATTCTATTTAAAAGCAGGATAACGGGGTTCTCCATCCCTTCTCTTTCTCCCTCACAGTTGTATAATTGTATTATGCTAAGGCAACTGTAACAGTTGTATGATATTTCTTGCAAGTTTCTTGTCGATAAAGGTCACCGGAGCTGTATATTTACCTTGGTGCGTCATGTGATAGTGGATGCATTTAGTGTTAGACTGGAGAGAAAATAGTTTTTGCGTGTTCCGTCATATCATATCTATGTGTGCTAGAACTATGCTGCTACCTTTGGACGTACTGGCAAGTTGTTCTGAGATGCCTACCAACGGGTCTTTGTTAAATGAATAGCTTTTGTTTGCTTCTCTGTTTTCATGCTTTCTTCTTAGTCATCTGTACTAACTAACATTAGTAGAGTGTCTTCTTCTTTCTATGTAAATTCAAAGCTATGATATCCTTATAAACCACTTAAATGTGAATCATCATTTCACCAACCGAAGACATAACTAGGCACCCAGAACCGTTTATGCTTTTCCCAGAGCTAATTTGCCCAGTTTGGGTCATCTAGTTTAGCCCATTTGCAATTTCAAGCTGTGATTGAAGCTTTTGACTTTGTTTCTTCAGATATATTGTTCTCCTCTCTGAAAATTTTCAAGTGTACTTAGCTTACAGAATTAATTTTAATTTTTCTAGTCCTTCTCATCATCATCATATCCGCAAAATCTAGAAATAAACTAACTTGCAAATCCTTGTCTCTATTTTTTTTTTTCATTCACAATATGCTTATGCTTTTCTGGGTCCTCAATCGGTTTTTAGGATTGGATTTGAATTTAGAAAGTCCAATGGTACATATAGAAGAGAATTACAACTTAATAAGCTCACCACTTGGAAACCTTATTTTTTGTTCATGGCGTATAGTTTTGCCCATTTGTATTTTCATGGAGATTCAATATAACCAAAAATGTACTATGCTTGTATTAACATTGTGGGGGTTCAAGCTGGTATTTATTATTTATTGTGCTCTGTTTACAATTAACAGTGTGTTGATCCCAACTTGTTTGCCTTTGGTAACACGCTTTTGTATACATATACTTATATGGATTTATTATTCCTTTTATTCATTGCAATTGATTAAGATAAAAGGGTTTGTTCAATATGAAGGCAATTATGCGTTTGGATCCTATAAACATGTTCTTTTATATGTTTCTTCCTTGAAATAAAATACATCATAATTTTGGTTTCTTTTGTTACCAAATATAGCATGATATTATTAGAATATTTATAAGTTCTCACAAAGAGTACATATATTTTACATATATATAAATTTTATAATAGTAATAAGAATATTTTTCATTAAGTCCTCAGACTAGCATGATGATTTTTCGTGTTCGTCTTTTCATCATGTTCTTGTGTTTATAAAGTTCCGCCACTGTTTTATGAACTTCTTATAATATCATGATTAATTATAAGAACTAATTGTTGGTTATGGCCTACAGAAGTATGGTGCTTACTTTTTATGTGCCCATATGAAATCAGTCAACATTTTGCTTGAGTTGGGTATTAAGGTAAATTATTCTAAGATGATATTTTTGAGTTTTCTTTTATGTCAAATATTTTGGAGTAGCCATGCCATCTTGAATACTTAATAAAAGAAATTAAATTATATGATAACATAAAGTTAAGTGATTAAATTAGAATGACATCTACTTAGCCTGGTTATCTTATTAAAATGATTACACGACCCTACAGAGTGGTAACTATTAATGGCCTCATCGCTGGTTGTCCCTCTATTAAAATGTTGGGCAAGTGTCGGGGAATTACCCACATTGAATACGAGCAAAGTGAAAATTGCTCATACCTTTCAGACTTTGGCGAGATTAATTGGAATGAGATAGTAAACCTTTAAGTTTGAAAATTATCTTATGTCCATAGGTATAAATTATTTATATGTATTTTGGTTTACTAGTTTGAAAAAGTGAAGTAAATTATATGCGTGGGTTGCAACCTCTATCCACAGGAAGGTTTAGAGTTTATTAAGAATTCGGTATTTCATGCGATTCGATTTTGATGAAGTTTATTTTATAACTTATGTAAGTTTATCCTTCTTTTGCAGTTTTCACAGTTTTTTCTACTGCTATTTTAATTAGAATACTCGAATTCCAATACTTTCAGTTACAATTATACTGAAATAGGAGGAGAGAGTCCTTCTCATTTTAGGGTGCTTGGATTTGGACCTGACACTCCGTGTGAACGAACCACTAATTTCTATTGAATCAAGTAGCTAATTATGAGAGGCGAGAACGATCCAATTGTCTAAGTCTAATGCTCATACAAACCTATATAAGTCAAAGCATTAGGAGTTCTATATTTAGTAGCGATAAGTTCAAAGCTTAAATTAAGGCAGTTAATGAACAATTCGTAAGCTCTGACAAGGCATTAGCCAGCACTCTTCTGAAGAGACTCTCAAGTATAACTTTTGACATAAGTTGTATGATGCGTGAGCATATTATGGAGATGAGAGACATTATTGCTAAACTCAAGTCTCTTGAGATTGATATGTCCGAATCATTCGTTGTACATTTTGTTCTCATTTTTCTTCCTACGGAATATAATACGTTCAAGATTTCTTGTAACAAACATAAAGATAAATGATCAATTAATGAGCTCTTCATCATGTGTATTCAAGAAGAAAAGAGGGTAAAGCATTAGACACTTGAAAGTGTTAATTTGGTGACTCATGATAAGAGAAATGCGAATAAAGGCAAAAGTGTTCCCATAAAGAAGAAAGACACTTTAACAAAGATATTTGTCATTTCTGTAAAAAGATGGGACACTAGAAGAAATATTGCCCCAATACAAGAAATGACTAGAGAAGAAAGGTAATTGTACCTTTGTATGTTATGAATTTAGCTTTACTGAAGTTTCTGATAAAATATGGTGGATTAATTCTGGTTCAACAATTTATGTTGCCAAAATCATGCAGGGTTTTTTAACTTTCAGGACACCGATGGAAAGGTTAACAATACACCTATTCTGCCAATAGTATGCGTTCACGTGTGGAAAACATGAGGGCTTATAGGCTCATTTCAAAGAATGGATTTCAATTAGACTTGAAAAAACACTTTTTATATTTCATTATTTTCTAGAAATTTAATTTCTATTTCAGGACTATCAATTAGTAGATATGATTTTAATTTTTATTATTCTTCAGTGAAACTTTTGAAAGATAATAAAGCTGTTGATTTTGAAAATTGAAATAGAAAGTTATATAAACTTGAGCTAGACCCCACATTTGAATGTGATATTTTAACTTTGCATGATCAAGAAATTGGTGCTAAGCAATGTATTATTAATAAGAACTCATCAAATCTTTACCACAAGAGATTATTGATACATCTCTATTGATAGGGTCAAAAGGTTAGCTAATGATGAAGTTCTAAAAACTTTTGATTTTTCTGACTTTGGGACTTGTATGAACGGCGTAAAGGGCAAGCAGACCAACAAATCTACCACAGGTGCCAAAAGGAGTTCTCAATTGCTTGAGATCATACATGCAAATATATGTGAACCTTTTCCTACCCCTTGCTTGAATGGTAAGAAATATGTTTTCTTATTTTTATGACTATTCAAGATATATGTATCTTTAGTTTTTGTTTAACAAAAAGCACTTCATACTTTTAAATTTTACAAAATATAGTAAAGAAACTGGAGCTTAGATAAAAAATATAAGATCTGACAGGGGCGAAAAATATTATGGTAGGTACATAAATAGGGAATAAGTTAAGGGCTCATTTATTGAGTTCCTTAAAAGCAAATGTATAGTCGCTCAATATACCATACCAGGAACACCGCAATAAAATAGTATAATAGAAAGAATGAACCGAATATTAATAGATATGACAAGAAGCTTGATTAACAGATCAAGTTTACTTTTATTTTATGCAGTGAAGCATTAAAAGCTACTGTATATATTTTATATAGGGTTCCATCCATTCCTAAGACACCTTTTGAATTATAAAAAAAGAAGAAAATTTAGTTTAAGCCATTTATACGTTTGGGATGTCCAACTGAGGTAAGGGTTTATAACCTACAATTAAAGAAGTTGGACGAGAGAATGAGAAGTAGTTAACTCTAAATGATTTAAGTTTTAATATCCTTCTCGTTCTCCTAAAATTGTTAAGGCAAGAAATGAAAATTTCTTAAGGATCATGAAGTATGTGGGAGTAATTTGACTCAAAAGGTAGAACTAAAAAAAATAAGGGAACCACCTTTGGTACATTTATACATTGGATACTTGAATATTGATTAGACTAATTCTCATGAATTATTTAAATAATAAGTTCAAGAAGCACCACCGTTTGAGGAACCACATGAAGATCAACCTGCTTTACCTGAACCTATTCAAGAAAAGTCTGAACCAATGGGTGTAAGAAAATCCTTAAGAGTTCGAAAATCAATAATTTCTGATGACAACGTTGTATATATCTAAGAGTCTAATTACGATATTGGACTAAAAGATGATCCATGATCATTTTCACAAGCCATGAGTAGAGAAAACTCCATACTTTAGAATGATGCCCTGAAAGAAGAGTTAGAATCAATGACTAAAAATAAAGTTCGGGATCTCATCGAATTACCAAATGGAGCCTCTAATGTGGAATCCGAATGGGTTCTTAAAACCAAAAGAGACTCACCTGGTAATATTGAATAAAATATTTCACTCAAAAAGAAGACATTGATTATCATAAAACCTTCTCTCTAGTATCAAAGAGTGATTCATTAAGAATAACCATTCCATTAGTAGCTTATGTTGATTTAGGGCTACATCAAATGGATGTGAAATAATTTTCTTGAATGGGATCTTGAAGAAGAGGTATATATGTGTCGGCCTAAAGGATTTTGTGGTAACGGTAAACATTATCTTATTTGCAAGTTGAATAAATTTATTTATGGGCTAAAGCATGCTTTTCGCCAATGGTATCTCAAATTCAATAACGTTGTGTCTTTATTTGGATTTACAGTAAACATCGTTGATTAATCTATATACCTTAAGATAAGTGGGAGAGAATATATTTTTCTAGTCTTATATGTGAATAATATTTTGCTTGTAAGTAGTGATAATGGGATTATTGAATGAGATTAAACAGTTTCTTATGCAGAATTTTAAAGTAAAGGTTATAGGTTAAGCCTCTTATATCATTGACATAGAGATTCATAGAGATACATCCAAAAGTTACCTGGATTGTCTCAAAGGGCCTACATTGAAAGAATTATGGAAAGATTTGGAATGAGAAATACTTCACTTATAGAGGCACCCATAATTAAAGGTGACAAATTCTTATTA